TATATATATATATATATGAATATATATTTCTCATAAATTTCAACTCGATCCAACTCTTTTTCTCGAAATTATAGCCAGTTAAAGTTCTAACTAAAAACTCGCAGATTTTTTTTTTGTTTTTTCAAATTTTGACTGTGAAGAAGTAAACTTTTTCAACTTTTACCTCCTCAAAGTACCAACAAGATGAAATTTGTGATTTGTAGATTTGCTACTCAAAGAAATTGGTTCAGTATTAAAAAAACTACAGTGTATACAGATAAAAAAATTTGCCCACATCAAAGTAAATCCAATACCTTCGCCGCTCTGCATCGAAGCTAAAATTAAATAATACAAATTCACCATGCAAAAACAATAATTTCTCAGCTCCTCATCGTAGCTTAACATAACATACTATTTTTCAATTTTCTCAATTGAATTAATGAAATCATTTCAAATTGAAGTTAATAATTAAAAATCGTTTTTGCTTAGTTATCTAGTCGATGCATTTTGAATCTTGTTTTTAACATGATTTGAAATGTAAATCTCAACAAACCATTTTTGGTTTTCTACTTAGTCTCGTTATAAATTATTTTTACAGTCATAAGTAAAAATTTCGTCATTTTTTTTTTAATATCTGGTTTTTTTAGCTTCGATGCAAAGCGAGAAGGTATTGGTTTTACTCTGATGTGGGCTTTTTTTTTGTCTGTATACACTGTAACTTTTTTAATACTGGACCAATTCCTTCGAGTAGCAACTCTATAAATCGCAAATTTCATCTAGTTGGTACTTTGGGGGGCGGGGGGGGGGTAAAAGTTGAAAAAATGTAATTCTTCACAGACGAAAGTTGAAAAAACAAAAAAAAAACCGTACGAGTTTTTAAGTTAGAACTTTTACTGGCCATAATTTCGAGAAAAAGAGTCGGATCGAGCTGAAATGTATAAGAAATAATTATTTGGTATGCCCTCACACGTCAGTTGTGTCAAACTTAAACTATACCCATTTCCCACCCTCCTAGGGGGGGTACAAGTTTTTTTGTTTTTCGAGGTCTTTAGCGGTAATTTTAAAACTTTTGGGTTGAAAATTTGCCAGTAGTTGGAACTCATATGTACCCATCACATATTAAACTGGAAAAAAATTGGGCACTACAGTTTTTTTTTAATGAGCATCAAAGCGTTTATTTGAAAGCGATTTTATTCAATTTTGTCACTTTTATTTATAATAATTCTTGTAGACCTGTGACCTCTCCGTTTCCTCATTGCTTTGATTACATTATGCCAATACTCTACTGTACTAGTCCTCTCGGATAAAATCACTTTCAAATAAACGCTTTGATGCTCATTTGTAAATACAGAACCTTCATTTAAAACTTTCTAACTTTGCTGGTTTATACTGTGCTTGGTTTGGACTGTACTGGCTTGAAAATACTAACTACCGATTTGCATCAAAGCGTTTTTTCGAAAGTGATTTTATCACTTTCAGATTTAAAAATTCCTGTAAACCTGTGACCTCCCCGTCCCCACTATGCCCCGACCCAACTATGCTCCGTCCCCACTATGCACCGACCCCACTGTACTGGTTTTTTTTAAAAGTATATTAAGTTATAATTCTTTATAAAATCTGAAAATTTGATTAATAATACTTTCGCACCGAAGTTTTAGAACTCTTACACGCAGATATTTGAATACATTTTTTTTCAACTGCTATTTTGAATATCCATAAAACCGAGTGTAATACATTTTTAATATTATAACGTAACAAATAACACAAGTACAATAATTTTAATATGTATCGTGTGTGTAATTTGTTAACGTTTTTTATGACTATACGTGTACCTAATGCAATTTTAAGTATTTTCGATTATACATTAATACAATTTGTTATCTGTTTGATAACAAAATACATGTCAAAAAAAAAGGGTTTGAACAAATATTGGGTACTACATATTTAAAAATAGTCCAGCTAGTTCCAATTTTGTATGGAATTTTTGCTTTTAGACACAATACTAATAAATGCCGTTAAAGAGTATCAAGCAATTATGTTTTAAATTTGTATATAATGCATACGTGTTCATTTATTATTTGTAAATCAGAAATTTTTTTTTTCTTAATAATTTTTACTGAAGTCGTTACATTTAACTGTTTTAGATTGTGAGACACCTGTGTACGCAAAACAATTATACAACTTGGTTTTTAAAATCCAGAAAAAAACCAATAAATTTAAATATTTTTAACTTGTAATAATCCTGATGGAATTATTGATTTCCTCCACCCTAATATGTTCTGACACCACTATGCCCCGTCCCCGCTGTATTGACTTTTCTAATTTTGCTTTTGTTTTACAATTTTTCATCACAAATTTTACTGTTAAGAGTATATAATATTACATTTGTGAAATCACAAATGTTTCCCATTTTAAGTACGTACATATATAGTCATATATAGTCATAAAACTAAAATATCAAACCAAAATACGAAGTGAACAAATTACATACAGGGTGATTTTTTATCGGATTAATCACAAAAAAACAAAAAACCTTTCAACCCCCGTTAAGGGTGGAGGGAAATGTAAATTTGAGACTTTTAACTTATAAGGGGAAAACCAAATAAGTATTCTTCATAAATTTCAACTCGATTCGACCCCTTTTCTCGAAATTATAGCCAGTAAAAGTTGAAACTTTAAAAACTCGTATGGTTTTTTTGTTTCTACAAACTTTCACTGTTAAGAAGTGAACTTTTTCAATTTTTCTGCCCTAAAATACAAAACAGACAACGTTTTTGATCTATAGAGTGGCTACTCGAAGGAATTGGTCGGGTATTAAAAAAGTTACACTGTATACAGACACACAAAAAACAGATATCGTTGTAAAACAAATAGCACCGCTGCTCCGTATCGAAGGTAAAATTTACGAATTTCGTTATTCATTTGAAAAAAATGTTTTTTCAAATAAGCGTATAAAGTCATAGCCTACAATTTTGTCTTTTTGTGCGCACTTATAAGTTAAAACTTTAAAAACTGTATATCACAGCATTTGTTTGCATTGACGTTTTAATTTTTTACTGGCTGCTAAATTGTTTGAGTGTTTATACAACAAAATGTATTAACATTTTAACAAGAAGACCAAATACAGACAATTGTTATGACTACCTCGTAAATTATTAGAACACGTTGTCTTTTAAAAATATAATATCGGTTTTACCACATGTACCTTAACTACACTACTTGGACTTATCGAAACTTAAAATATAACATACTCGTTTACTAAAATTATCTTCGTATTGTACTGCCTATATGATGTTTTCATAATTTTATTATTTATTACCATGATAAGCTTATAACGTATTCGTCTATTTCTCCACCTACCCTTATTCAAAAATAAAGTCAGCTAAGTCTCCACTCTTATAGATCTAACATAATATCTCTATAAAATAACCAATTAGTAAAATAAAAAAAAAAAAGATTATTGCAAGTAAAAATTCAAATTAATATTTTCAAAATATTGTCAAAACTATAGTTATAATATTTTATATTAAAATATCATATTTTGGAATGAGATAAAAACTTGTTGTATTGTAGGTGTTTACGTATGTATGTTCAAATAAACGTTTAAATTAAGAATAATTTTCTTAACATTTTTCTTGGTCAATAACCAGTATTAAATAATAAATTTGGAAGTTATTTAGTTTTAAAACTTAGGATTGGAGGGTTGTATATTGTGATAAATATTTAGGAACAAATATTAAAATTTATTAATTTTTTTTTTTATAAACATATCTCGGTGAACAAATAATAATTAAATCGTGAAATAATATTGTATATGACATAAAAAATAGTGTCAAAATAAACACTTTGAGAACTTGACCGGCTACAAAAAACTAATAGTACGCTGTAAAGTAGCACACTAAAAACCGTATGACACGAATGCAATTCTAGAAAATGAAAATTAATAGTTAAATTTTAATTGTGTTTTACCACAGGGATGTTTTTATTTCTATTTATGCAAAAAAGTATTTGTAAAAAGTATGTTTTAAAGAAATCAACGGTCGCTCAGGCAGATGGTCAATAAAGAGTATGTCTTTTTCGAAATAGGGTATTGTTTAGAAACTTTTGGTAAAGCGTTTAATAAAGAAGTCCTCGTACTAAAAATTACTAAGATGGTGGATTAAGGCATAAAAAAATAAACCAAGCAGTCCAAACTAGTACAGTATAAATCAAACTCAAATATAAACTAGCATAGTGGTTCAAAGGAGGTAGGTATTCAAATTTAAAAGTGAATTTATGACTTTCGAACGCTTCGATGCAAATCTGTAAATAGTATGACCTAGTACAGTATAAACTAAGCACAATAATAATAAGTAGAGTACAAATCAATTTTTTTCTGTCTACACTAATACAGTATAAACTATGTACAGTTCAAACCAGTAAAATAAGATTACCAAAGTGGATTCCAGTATCCACAGAAAACTGGACCCCACTGGTTACTACAAAACATTGAAAAAAAAAATTATCGAATTTTTTAAAATCTTTTGGACTTTTTATAGCAACCATAAAATAGTCTGTATACAAAATTTCAAGTTTCTTAATCCAAAATAGCTCCAAAAACCAAATTTTAGAGCTTTTGGAGAATTTTCTTCTTTAAAAAGTTTGTAATATACAATAGTCTTATTTCCAGTTCTTAAGATTCAATATTTCGCCTAAATAATGTAGATTTAAAGCTATTTGTGGATATGAAGCTATAATAGTACAGCAAGTTTATCCTTTCCCCTTCCAATTTGAGGGACACCAACTAAAATATTACATATTTAAACATTTAAATTTAAAAAAATTTAATTGTATGACATTTTCTTTAGATTCGGCACAGTCGAAAAACGTTGGTTATATATGCATACACATTTGCTGCACTTGAGTAAACAGTTTTAATAATGGGTGTAGTCAGTATTACTAAAAAATAGCAATAGTGGGGTGCATGTATTAAAAATGATGTACAACGCAAATAAAAACGTTCTTAAACATCTGTTGATTACTGAAAATCGCTTAGCTTAATAGTTACGAAGCTAACAATGTTTCATTCCTGGACTATAATATCTTGTAGAAGGTACTGAAAATCAAAAAGATTTCTTTTAATAACCAAAATTCATAGCTATAACATATTTTTAAAATATTCTGAACCCGATTTTATTATTTTTTAAATTAACATGTATTCGAAAAATATTTTACTGTTTTTCTGCGTGACATTATACGTTTTGCAATGTCAGAGTGTCCCACCTCAGGCACTAACTGTAAGTATAATAAGCATTCAATGTTTATGATCGATTTATAACGCTTAGATTAACTATAAAAATCGTAATACATTGTTTAGAAAATGTATTGAATGTTCTTACGATCACCATTTTCGAAGTTGATTTTTAAGTGATTCTTTCACTTGAAAACAGCTCTTAAACACAATAAGAAAAAATGATTGAATTACTTCGAAATTAATTATATTATAGTGAAAAAAATCCGCAAGGCATATTATACACAGAGTTGATCATTTTCTATTCGAATAACGAATGAATAATAACTTATTTATTCGACCAAATCTAAAATGATTTCTTCGAATAATTTTTTTATTTGACTTAATCCAAAATAATTTTTTCAAATAATTGTTTTATTTTATGGGTGTTCGAGTAAATAATTATTTGAATAAAAAGTTATCATAAGAACGCCTAACTCTGATTATAATATACATTTTAAAGTTTAATTCTTAAATAGAAATATAGGATTTGATTAGAACCGTAATCGCAAGGCATGCGGGACAAGATGGCAGGGTGGAATTTGATAAAATAAGAACTGTATTATACGAAGTAGCAACCACACTCAACATGCCATTTGAGATGGCCAGTTACGAAGACTTGAAAATAAGTAAGAAACAATAAAAAAATATACAATAAATATGTTAAGTAAAATTATCAAAAACTATTAAAAAGACATTTTAACAATCCAGTTTGTCATTTATATAGCTGTAAATCAATTCATTTTTTTTGACTAAAATATCATAACTCGTGAAACAAAATATAAAAAATTAAAAAACGGGGGACATTCTTTTGATGATGCACCAAAAAAAAATTGGAAAATGTGATATTTATTATAACGACAAGTTCATTAATAACATTTACTAAATCACAATAACTTAAATTACAAATGGTTTGCAATAATTGTAACACTATAATATTCTCAACTCGTTTGCTGTTCAATTTTCCTAATTTGGTTATTTGAATAAATTTTAATACTTTGTAATTTCAGAATTTACATATTCAAGTGATGACGCTGAACTATGTGCCCTAGTGTTTATAGCTAGAGATGAACCGAGAATAAATGTAAATAAAATCTTTAATACTATATTACAGATAAAAAGCTAGTTAGGTATGGAGATAATAAAATATTCAAACTTGAATTCTTCTATGTAACATGGGTTTAATTCTTATAGTTCTAACAAGTATAAGTATTTATGATTGATAAAAATTCTCAGCACTAAGTTGTTATATACAAAATGTAAATTTTAGTAATAATAAATACCTGCAAAAATTTAAAAACATTATTTTTATCATCGGGAAGGGGGTATGGATTTCGGCATTCACTGATTGAATTCAGTAAAACCTAGGATTTACAAAATATGTCTAGTAGTTTGGTGTTTTGATTTCGGCAAAGAAGGTTCAGTTCTATATGTTAATACATTTTAAAATTAAATTCTTGTTTTGAAAATTATAGGGGTTGGTTAGTGGCATAGTCGCAAGACATGTGGGACCTGATGACGTCATAGACTTTGATGAATTAAAAAATGTATGTACCATTGTCGGAGAGCAATTCAACATAACCAAAGATTTCCTCAGTATAGATCTATTTCAAAGGAGAGCATTACCATTAGGTAATTCATAATAGACAAATACTTGATAAATATAGTAATATTTTGTATTTTCAGGCCGTAAATTTGGAAGGAAGGAAGTTGAATTGTGCGCTCTAGGGTTTTATGCTTCAGCAAAACAGGGAATAAATGTAAATAAAAAATGTTATACTATATTACAAATAAAGACATGTTAGGTGGTTTGTGTGGAGATATTCAAAATATTCGAACTTTCAATTATTCTATGTAAAACCGGTTAATTCTTAGAGCAAAAATTACAAGTACTTAGTATTTATTTATTGAAAATTTTCAGATTTATGCTGTAATATACAGAATGTAAATCAAAGTTTAGTAAATTAATATTATGTTTTTACCGTCCTCGTTTTCACATCGAAGTGATATTTTCACTTTTAGTTATTTTCACATTTTTCAAATTTCGAACAATATTGTTTTTCTATTAAACCAATAACTGATTATTTCACACATAAAATAAATAATAAATAGAAGAACTATTTTTGAACTATTCCTTGCCATCTTTGAGACAGGAAGGGATAAATTAAATAAAAATAAATTTTTCTCCCATATTTTCCTAATATTTTACCTGAACATGAATGCTTTAAGTATTATGCAATAGATGTTTTTACGCAGTCAAAAACCTCAAGGCATATTTCATGTTTTCCATTTTTTATTTCACCAAAGAAGAATCAGTTTTATTCGTTAATTGTAATACACTATTATATTATGTCCAATTATTACTCATATATCAACAGGAAACAGTAAAACGTGCAGTCAGGAAACATGAAAACCCTAAAGGCATAGGCTATGACCATTTAAAAAAAATAATCAAGGAAGTAAAACGGAAATTGAGCATAACAAAGCCATTCTACAGTTTGGATGATTTCAAAACCGAATTTTCAGGTAATATAACAATAGAATAATATTCAATAAATGTTTCAAGTAAAATGTTCAAAAACTATTGCAAAGACATTTTAATTATACAGTTTATTTAGCTGTAAATTAATCAATCTTTTAAAATTAAAAAAGCATAATTCATAAACTGACTAAAAAGTTTAAAAAACGAAGGTTCTTTTTTTATGATGTATGTACAAAAAAAATAGCGAAATGTGGATACATGTTTACTTTACTAATATTCTATAATTTAATATTACATTATTATTCTAAAATTACAATTATTCGGAACAAAGATGTTTTTTTATTGTAACACATTGTTACTCTCAACTCATCTGGCCTGATTTGTTTGTTTAAAAAATGTATAATATTTTGTACTTTCAGTAATGAAATTCGATGCGGGACATGTTGAACGAATAGTCATTACAAATTTGTTTCCATGGTTTCTTTGATTACAATATTAAAAATTATTTGAATTGCTGAATGTATGAAGTGTATCACATTTTGACATAAAAATATAATTTTGATTGATTAATAAAATTGTTTGCTCCTATACATATATGTTTTACAAGTCGTCTTTATTACTTTTTTTTGAAAACAATAGTTTGATTAAAATAAAAACTGTTATTGAATAACTGCATGTATGTAGTATATCACGTATTCACATAAAAATCTAAATTTGATTTATTAATAATTTATTTTGCTCTAATAATTCGTTGGTATTTATTGTATTACTTTAAAGTAGTATTACCCGATCCATGGTTCAATTTCGTGGACAAACCCAGCAACTTTTGTTTTGTAACTAGACACTGTTAGCTAAGCTCCGCTTAAAATCTAAAATGTAAATTGCTTATTTTAAATTAGCTTTTTTAAACGAAAAACTCTGAGCCAAATTGTTACCGTTTTTTCAAGACAGTTTGTCGATTCTAGTTTGGCGAAATACCATTTAAGTGACACTATATCTAAATAAACCAATAGACATTTTTGACAAAAATGAGCAATAGCAGCGCAATTATTTAAATTGAAATACAATTTTTATTTTGTAAAAACAAAACAATTGAATTAGTTCCAAATGTGTATGGAATATTATTTAAGCATGGTACTACACACTAACAATGGCACACAAAATAAATAATATCAACCTTTTTCCCTAGAAGGGATACAAATGTTTTCAAGTTTTAGCGATTCAGGTCGGAAATTTAGACCCAAAGTAGATCAAGAATGGAACTATAATACATAAAATCTTCTCAAAAATTGGTAGTCAAAATTTTTTTTTTATTAAGGAAAAACCCAAAAAGTACATTTTCACTGTAGTCAATTCGCAGGTTGTTATGTGTAAGTGAAGTTACAATAAATAGTGAAAGTATTTACATTTTATTATTTAAGGGGCCTCTACACCTGCATAATTTTGGTCGAAAACAACTTATTCTACTTAACGTGATCAACGAGTTAAAAACTGCAGTTTTTCACATTGAAATAATTATTTAATTAAAAATAATTTTAAAATTGTACCACAGCCAATGTCTTGAAAGTCTTATGAAGAATTTAAATGTTTCTTTAAAACTTAATTGAAGAATTCTTAGGATCAGTACGTTTGAAGTAGAAACAAATGTTTATGTAGAAAAATAGATCTTATATGCGTTATAAAAGTGAAAGAAAATTAATTTTCAAAATAGTTATTTCTTTCCTATGGTCATATGTGTGTTTAAAAATTTAAGGTTCAGTTTTAGCTAAATATTGCCTATACAATGCGCCTTAATATATGCCAGTATAAAAATGCATATATCGAAGTTAACTACTCGTATAACTATTTTAAATACTTGGCAATATACTGAATTAATATTTTATTTGTAAATTGAAGAAATGGGAAGTCTTAAATTTACAATATAGACACCCTTCAGATATTTTTAATAAAGAAAATTGCCGGAAAGAGTTTGGAAAAATATATATTTAAATAACACTTTTTTTGTTAAATTTGCTATAAAAATATAATTTAAAAACACTATATTTAAAGATGGTTTTATCTGCTTAATTAAACTAGGTTAGAGATTAAATCATATTGTTATTATTCATTCTGGTAAAAAGGATTTTCCAAAATGACCAGCTATTTAGGAATTAGTTTATCTGAAACAAATGAATGGTGTGCTTGTGTACTGTTTCAATTTTGACGCAATATATAAATTCAAAACTTACTATTTTAAGTCTGTTTGATTAATGAACATAGTTGATAGATACATATTGATGGATTGCAAATCTGGATTTAATGGGTTTGATGTAAGTATTTTTCAACTGTTAAGTACTATTTTCTGGTTACGACATTGTTTAATAAAACGTTATCTCCAGTCACCAGTCACTGTATTAAGAAGTGGCAAGTTACCTGACAATCATAATAAATAAATAATTCCTTACATTTTGAAAATAAAAATATTTACAGATAAATTAAAAATACTTACTCTCTATCTTTTATTCAAGTTTTACAAGCACAATATTATATTTATGTGTTCAATATTCAATAGAATAGATTCCGACCGTTAGCATGCAAGCTGAACCGTTGTTTCCGTTGACATGGTTACGGCCATAAGGCAGCGAAATGTAAAGGCCCGGACAGAAGAGAACTCTGCATGACCTTCAGTAGAGAGAATCACCAGGCAAGCAATTGCACGGCCCCTCCTCACTGTATTTTATGTCAAGAAATCAGAAAGAATGTCGATCATTATCCAAGGGGCGGAAAGTGCGAGGCGTAGAGAAAAGCGACAGCCAAACCTTATCCCGACTAATGCCTGGCGGTGTCTCCGACACGGGGTGAAATCCGAACCAACAAGATGACTGGATTTTTCAGATTATGTTAAATTTGTATGTTATATTACATATTTTAAAATTTTGATTTTTAAAAAGTTAAATTGTATGAAATATTCTTAGGAGAGAACACTATTGAAAAACGTTGACAATATATACATGTGTTTTGCACACGAGTAAACAATTCAAAAAATAAGTGTAAAAACTACGTCTAAAAAATAGCAATAGCGGTGTGCGTGTATTAAAAATGACACCCTACGCAAATAAAAACGTTCTTAAATATCTGATGTTTACTGCGAATTACTCAGTTCAATAGTTCCAAAATTGAAACTTTATCATTCCTGAAGTATAATATCTTGTAGAAAGTTCTGCAGTATTCACATTACATTATAAAATCGTCTTCAGTACTATTATCAAATAATTCCAAAACAGTTTTTATTTCCAATATTAATAATAAAATATTCTAAATCCGAGTTTATTTTTTTTTGAAAAATCAGAATGCATTTGAACAATGTACTGTTTTTATGCACGACGTTATATTTTTTCCAATGTATGGCTGCCCCCCCAACTGATGAACAGCTTGTAAGTAAAAGAGCACTAATTATTATTTATGATTAAAATATAACGCTGATATTCTTATTTAACAATACACAAAGTTGGGCATTGTTTAGATAATTTTTTATCTAAATAATTATTTAAATAACATTTTTATTCGAAAAATCGATTCGAATGACTGACGAATAATTTTTTGATTCGAATAATAATTATTAAAAAAAAAACAAATGATTTATTCTCAATTTTTTTTTTCTTGGGTTTATTATTTTATTGTTGGCAAAATTTAAAAAAATCTTAACTGCAATATTTTATAAAAAAAAATGCACGAATAAATAAATTATTATTCATTGTTTGAATAAAAAAGTCCCAGATCTGACAATGTACAAAACGTACCATTTATACATTTGTTTAGCATTTTTGCATAATACAATATATATTTTAAAGTTTATTTCTTATTCTGGAAATTATAGAACATGATTAAACGATTAATCGCGGCAAAATTGGGACAAGATGGCAAGATGGAATTTAGTCAACTAAAAGAAGTATTAATCCGAGTAGGAATAAAGGTCCGTGACCATATGAGGATACCCAGTCAGAAAGACATCGAAATAAGTAATAAATTATAAAAAAAATGTTGAATAAATATGTTGAGAAAAATGATCAAAAACTATAGACTATTACTAATGACTTATAACTAAAGACATTTTAAGTATCGGGTTTGCTAACCATTAGGCTGTAAAACAAATTATTCATTTAAACTAAAAAATCATAACTTGTGAACCAAGTAAAAAATGTAAAAAATAAGGAATCCTTTTTTTTGATGGTGCACAAAAAAATGTATTAGAAAATGTTATAAATATATATATTGTGTACCTTAAAATACAAATGTTTGTAATTGTAACGCGATTCCTTTGCTGTTAAATTAGCCTGATTTGGTTGTTTAAATAGTGTATTATACTTTGTACTTTCAGAGTCTACATATGCAAATGACGAAGTTGAAATTGGCATCCTATCGTATGTATCTAGAACAAAACCGGAAATAAACGTAAATAAAAACTATTATACTGTACTACACATAAAAATATGCTCGTTAGGTTTTTTGTGGAGAGATTTTCTAAATATTCAGACTTATAAAAATTCTTAGCTCAATGCTGTTATATACTAAATAAAAATTATAGTTAAGTCACTAATAAAAAAATGTTGATAGTCAAAGATACTATAAAAAAAAGATACACTTAAAAACAATAAGTAAAAATAGCCTAGGTACTTTGAAATTGAATACAATTATGCTGAAAAAATCCTCAAGGAATATTAGCTAGTAGTTTGTCGTTTTAAATTTAATTAAGAAGCCTTTTAACTACTACTACTATTAACTATAATATACATTTTAAAATTCAATTCTTATTCTAAAAACTATAGGAGTTGGTTAAAGCAAAAGTCGTGGCACATATGGGGCAAAATGAAGTCATGGACTTTGATACATTAAAAGCTGTATGTAAAGAAGTAGCAGAGGAAACCGGCATATCCAAGGAGTTCCTCAGTATAGATTTATTTCAAAAGATAGATTCAAGTAATTAAAAATATTCAATAAATATGTTGAGTAAGACGTTAGAAAAGACATTTAAGCATTTTATTGTGTCATTTGTAAAACTTTTGATCCTGATAAAACGTTAAGAAAACTGTGCCCTATTTTTGATCATGTAAAAAAAAGAGCTAATAAAATTTGAAATTTAAGATCATTTAAAAAAAATATATATATATATATAAATTTTATTAATATTTTATAATTTAATAATACATTATTATTCTAAAAACTACAGTTATCTTAAATGAAAATGTTTTCTTACAAAACACATTGTTATTCTAAACTAATTTGGCCTGATTCGTTTGTTAAAAAAATGTTTTAATATTTTGAACTTTCAGACCGTATATTTACAAAGTTGACAGCTGAAATCCATGTCCTAGCGTATGCTGCTACAAATGATCCAGGCGTGCATGTAAATAAAAACTATTATTCTATACTAAAGATAAAAGACTAGTTAGGTTTTTTGTGTGGAGATATTCAAAATAAACAAACTTCAATTCTCTTTTGTAAAATAGGTTTAATTATTATAACTTTAACAAGTACATAGTATTAACGATTAGTAAAATATATTCTCAGCTTTGCGCTGTTATAATATACTAAGTTTAAATTGTAGTTTACTAACTTTTTCTTATGTTTTTACCGTCGAAGTGATCATAAGTGATTTTTTTAATATATAGAATAATAAATACAAGAACTATTTTCGAACTATAAATTCCAGTTTTTGACACAGAAAGAGATAATTAAAATTAAAATAATTTATTTTTCTCATTTTTTTCCTAACATGAAATAAGTGCGTAAACTATGCAATTTATTTTTTTATGCCAAAATCACCTAAAGGATTTGCCTTTAGGTGTTTTTGTTCGCAGTTTTTATTTTGCTAAAGAAGAATCAGTTTTGTTACTGAATTGTAATAGACTATTTAATGTCTAATTATTACTTATATAACAATAGGCAATAGTAAAAAACGAGGTCGAGAAATTTGAAAATCCTAATAACAAAACCTATGCAGATTTCAAAAAAATATTTACTATAGTAAAACGGAGAACCCTCGCAGACACGATATTCCGCAATTTTGAGGAATTCAAAAGGACATATAAAAGTAATATAACAATACAATTATTTTAATGAGGCACTCAGATGCCAAACCGATTAACTCCACTTTTTTTCAAATTGCGAATAATAGAATGGTTGGATTAAAAAAGTGCACATTTTTCAGTGGCCAAGAAAAATAACTCCACAGTTGAATTTTTCACCACTTAAGTGCGCTAAGAAAATTGGCAATTGTACTTACATGCATTGTTTCAAATAACTTTAACTGCCTGTCCTAATAAATTTCATTCTATAGAGTCAATCAGTTTGGCTTCTGAGTGCCTCAATTTTAATAAATGTGTCATACATATGTGAGATACATGTTAGTTTTACTAATATTGTATAAGTTAATATTACATTATTATTCTACAGTTATTTGAAACAAAGATGTTTTTCTAGTGTAACATTGTTTGGTTCAATTCGTTTGGTCTTATTTGTTGTTTTTAAATATATAATATTTTGTACTTTCAGAAAGCAAAGTCGACCCGGAAGATGCTGAACAAGTCATCTGTAATACTTTTTTTAAACAATAGTTTAATTATAATAAAAACTTTTATTGAATAATTACATGTATGTAGTATATCACATATTCACATATAAATGTAGATTTGATTTATTAATAAATTATTTTGTTCTAATAATTCATTCGTATTTATTGTATTACTTTTAAGTAAGTTTTATTACCCAATCCAGCAAATCTGTGCAGGTTTAATCCCGTGGACAAAACCAGTGACTTTTGTTTTGTAGTTAGTCTCTTCTTACAATGTAAACATTTTATTTTACCAGTAATACCTTTACAGTAACATTTGGTATTCGTATGCTTCGTGAAATTTTCAAACATTCTGTTGGTAAGCTAATTTCAAATTAAATTTAATAGTTCATAAACCATAAAAAGTAAAAACACATTAATAAAACTAAGCACCAAGTAATAAGTACTAAGTGGAGGCAGTGAGGTTACAGTTCTATAGGAATTATTACAGCTGAATGTGATAAAATTACATTCAAAGAAACGCTTTGATGTACTGGTTTGAATATACAATCCACAGGTATTCAAGTTATTCAAGTTTTCTATAATATTGTTATATTTATCCAAGCTTTTAGCTATACTAAAACGGACCCATCTGAAGCTTCAAGTTCAGTTGCACCTGAAAACTGATGCCGAAATGAAGGATGCTCTGGTAATTCATATTATTATTTTAAAGCTATTAGGATTTTGTTAATATTTTGGGGAGTCATTTATTATATAAATGAAAAAGTTCTTCTAAATAGCAATACCTATCTAGGAATATATTGTTGTTTTAGCCGAAAAACTTACAAATAAATGAGAAAACCGATAATGAGGTAATTTATACTATAGTATACTTTAAAAACTTATTGATTTTGTCAATATTTAGCTGAATTTTGTATAATATAAAAGAAATAGACGTAGGATTTGGATACAATTTAGCCAGCATTAGGTAACAAACTTGTTATTTTTGTCAGCGTTTTTTAAACAGCATTTTATAAATTTTTTTTTTTTTTTAAAAGTTAATTTAACACCAGCACTGACGTGCAATGTGATGGGAACGCATAGTCCCTAATAAATTTATCAGATAATGTTTTAAATTGTAAGTTCTTTTGTAATTTAAATTTAGTTTAATATTTGTGTGTGACACATACATTTCATAATATTTAACTCAAATGAATTTGGACTTTGTAGAATAGGGCCCATGCTTTTCTTTTTAGTCAGAAATTAAAAATGTTTAACATTATTTAAAATTGTAGTTAATTTTGGGTCGTTTTCAAAGTAATTGACATTTTAAATAAAATATGCTACAATTGATTAGTAAATTGTTCTTGTAATAAAATTATTTTTTAATTTTTAGTTCACTTTTTACTATTTTTTTTTTAGAAAAGCATGTTTTTTAAAAAGTTTTTTACATGCTTTTCTGGTTAGTTAATTTTAATTAATTATAACACAACATAATATAATGTACATTTTTCGAATTTTATTATTTTAGTATCGTTAAAGTTGAAACAGTTTTTGTAAAACCATAATAAAATTTAAAAAAAAAAGTGTTTTGCATAGAAAATCATAGTCTAAATTCCGCTTGCTAAATAATGTATGTGCACGATAAATCACAAAAAAAAAAATGAACTAGTTGTGTAAATTAACAAACATAATATCTACAGTGCATTAAAAAATTTGCATTGTGATTTTTCGGTCGAAGTAAAAGACAACCTATAAGTCGCAGGTAGTACATTTTGTTTCAAAAGCTGATCAAGTTGACTGCTGTCCAAGAACCTCTTACCAACTCTACAATTCAAGTAAGTAATTATATTAAACTCTCAGAATTGATACTACGGTAAAACTAAAAATGCACGAGCCTAATGAGTAATGAGTCAAAAGTTATAGTGTTAAAAAACAGTAATTGGGAAATTTTATTTTTAGTTATTTTTTTTATCGATTCCTAATCATCGTTTCACACAATCCACATTTTGGTGACAATTTTAGTTATTTTCGTTATATGTCTTGAAGTGTACTAAAGGAAGTGTAGTGCAAAAAGTAAGTTTTTATAATAAATCACTAAAGTCCCCATTGCATATAAAACCAAGATAAAAAAAAAATTTTATAAAAATATTCTGGCCGCACCAAGTCAAAGAAGCAACATTCAGCGAAATGATTTAGATTTTCCATCATAACTCAAAAAATAAAATTTGTAGGGAACTAAATTCATATACGTGTACAATTTTATTTGTATATTTTTTTTTTAATCGCCAAAAAAAAAAAATTTTAATTAAATACATTCAAAAGTGAGTTTCTTTTTAACACGCTTATACTAGCTTTACTTGCATGTATGTTTGTTTGTATGTTTGTATGTAACTATGTAACTAAAAGAGATAGGTAACCGAACGTACATGCGTGTATTCATTGTTGTTTACCTGAAGTTTTCAAGTAATAGAGACACGTATGTACTAGAATTAAAAAACACGATTTTAAAGCACATCGAACTAAACAGTGGAAAATAAAAAAATATAGTTTAAAAAAACTAAAAACATGCTTAAATAGTAAACAAACTAAAAAGTAGAAAATAATTTTCAATATAGAAATCAATTAATAAAATTTTTAATTTAGAAATCAATTAATAAAAAATAAATAGTATTATTGTGAAAAAAGCGTGGGGCGCTACATATATCAGTTCTTGAAAAGCACCCCACGCTTTTTTCACAATAATACTATTTATTTTTTATTAATTGATTTCTATATTGAACATTTTTATTAATTGATTTCTATATTGAAAATTATTTTCTACTTTTTAGTTTTTTTACTATTTAATTATTTTTACTTAATTTTTAAGAAAATATTAGTGGTTTTTCAGATGAAAAAAAAATTGACTATAAAACAACAAAAAAACAAACAAATAATATAAAAACTGGAAATAGAATTTTGCTAATAATGTGGTCTAGAAACGAAATACCTATTTTCCGAGTTTCCGTTCGATCAAAGAGGATAAATAATGGAACCGGGATAGGTCAGATAAGATTCTATTGTAATTTGTATTTACAAATGTCGAACCAGTCTTTCGATCTATGCGTCGAGTTGTGTATTTTTGGTTTTCAGTTTTCACGTTGTTGTTTATCCGTAATATTTTACAAAAAAAAATTTGAGTGCTTAAATGTAGGAAACATCTATGTTCTTGTTTGTAGTTTAACTTACAAAAAAGCACTTTTAATTTATCGCTTGATAATTCTATACACATTATAAATCTAATACAATTATTTAATTTTAATATTTTAATCATTTGTGTTTTTTACATTGAAAAAGTAAATTATCAAAAAAAACTGTACTATTCATTTTAAAAATTAAGCCAAACATAAGAAAAATTTGTTTTTGCATTTTTTAAATTTTTAAATTTTTCTTTGACTATTTTAAAAACAACCAAATTTGTACACGTACCTATATTAGACAGAAATCAATTTCCTTCAAAAATAAGATTTTATTTATGATTTATGATTGAAAATCTAAATCTTTTTGCTGAATATACCTTTTTTGACTTAGACGAAATATTTTTTTAAAATTTAATTATTTACTTTATTATCAAGACGCTACTTATGTGAGTTATTATGAAAACGATTTAAACAATTTCATTTTTGCACTATATCTTAGAGTACTATTCGAAAATATATCTCAATATTTTTTATGACGGTAATAAATTTATTTCTAAGAATATTTTTTTAAAACGGATGTGACGTTCTCTCTATATTCTTTCCACTATAAACTCATAGAAGAGATTCGCATTATTCCATTATGAGATGACTAAGAAGCATTATGCGTAGTCAAGTTTAGTCGCTTGAAAATTAAGTGTATAATTTCACTTTGTACAATTTAACTTTAATAAGACCATTTAGTTAAATACCTTTTTCGAATTTTTATTTTGAATAGTGTAACCTAACATTTTTATACAATACAATTAGACAGACTTAATTGTATTTTGGTCTGTCTTCATTATAGTGAAATAAATTTAATTTTAGTCAAATAAAGTACCTTTCAAGTTAGGCTACTACCTTCCTATATAAAAAAATCAGTTAATGGTCTTGGAAATATTGTGGGTTCAGTCAAAAATGTTTATACATAATTATATGTATATATTTATCCTATTAAGACTGCCTCGCAAAACTATAACTCTCTCATATCTGAACCAGAGGCAACTGTGGCTAATATAAAAAATTGTATTATTTATTATTATTCGCAGATTAAAATGAAACTCTTCTGTTTATTAATATCTTTTTTCTTTGTGGAAGTTTTGGCAGATTATGGTAGTTATTTTATTTTCATAGTTGACAACTCTAAGTACTTAAAATTTCTAAAAAAAAAAAATCAATATTTTACTTAATTTCAGATGAATTTATGAGTATGATTTATCGCACAAGTCAGTAACGTTTTTATTTTATAAACAATTATTTTTTTTGTTTTTTTAAATCCAATGTTTTTATACATATTTTTTATGTATCAGAGCTCTAGCCATAAAGTTCGCTTATGAAAAGAACGATTTAACTGTAAGAGGTAGATCTGAAGCAAGTAAGATATTATATTTAAAATAATATACTTATATTTTGTCAAGTTATAAGTATATTAAAAATGATAGTTTTTATCAATTGCCAAGAAAAGTGCACCAGATAGGTAAAACATCGTACAGAGCGATATAATACATTATACATAAGCGATGTCTTATAATCTAATCAAGGGAGAAGCATAAAGTTAAATGGCTACTAATCAACGCCGGGTTTAATATTATTTTAAACATTTGTATGCTACCTAATTTGATTTAAATTTAATATTTTAGTGTAGCTAACATTTTCATTTGTTTATTCTAGATGCACTGGAGCATGCAATTGAGATGATAGTTGATGATGCCGATAGAGACCCTTACTTCAAGGATTTCCGTTATCATAATTATTATAATAATAAAATGAAAAACATCAAGTCAAGAGTAGAAACTAATATTTGAAAATAATAGGAAAACTGCATCTCAAATTTATCTTTATGCAATTGATGTGTTATAATTAGACCGCGGATTGCAGGGATATTGCAGGAAAATTGCATGTTTTAAAATGGCCGTGAATAAAAATTAGACATTCTCAATACATATAGCACAAGGTAAAATGTAGACAAAGGCTATTGCGGTCAATTATTTTAATTCATGGTCGACAATGTACAAATCTAATAAATTATTCTAAACTTACGATTACTCATCAGTCATCACTGTTAACTGCAAGTCTAAAGTGGATACTGTTTCTGTCTTTCTCTTAATTTTCACTTACTAGTATTCTTGTGGGTACATGTACAGACTTGTTTCGTTGCTGGCCTACTATATTGCGTAACAAAAGGGAATTGCCAAAATTTAAACAATGACTTGGTGTTAATATAGATACATATTAACTCTTTAAAATTTTAAAGCCACTTAATTTATAATTAAATTTTACGTTTTGAACGTTATTATTTTTTTTTTTTTAATATAAACGATAACAAAAATTTTAAAACTAAATAATTATTAGCAAAAAATTCACGTTTAATATATTTTATTGTATAAAATATTATTAAATTATTATTATTATTTGATAGGCACAATTGAATAATTTAAAAATGACTACTTTATTTTACATGCACAAAAAATATGCAAAATATGCACTAACAAGTAGTGTCTGTATGGTATAAAAAGTTCTGAAACAGATTTTGGTAGGGAACATTCTTTCATAGGAGGACTCATAAAATACGTACAATTGCATACAAATCCGCGGTCTAGTTATAATTGTTATATTTTTCACCTATATTTAAATAGAAGTTTCATGAAGAAAATACTGATCATAGCTCTATCAACCTCGTCTGATTAAAATGTTTTATTCTTATCGTCTAAAATGCATCAACTCAGTTATAATAATAGACTAGGGAATAGTTTTTTTTGTACTTTGACCTTCGTCTTCTAGTTTATAATTATATAATGTAAACAATTATTATAGCAAATCCAAGTCAATACCTATCATTAATTTATGTAATGTCAATTTCAGGCACACTTAATTATGTGACCGCTGTACCGAGTAATATTTTTTGTTGAATTTTATGAAAATATTTCCAATATTTCATTTCCATTGAATTTTCCGAAGATACTCTCATCGTATTGAATATTCAGTGGAGCGTATTTCTTCTGAGCTTTTAACACAAAGGTTTTTTCTACCTTGACATTCGTCTTCTTGTGTTATAATAGAATAGAAAATTAAATGCAATATTATTAATTCACGTGTTGTTACTTTCAGACAAAATGGAAATTATCTCCAGAATAGAGGGTAATCATTTTCATCGCACTTTATGGAACCGTTTCCACACAGTTGTTTGATATTCTCTATGCACATACGATTTTTGTTTTAATTTCAGGATTTAGAACTTACGATCTATTGGAAAGTAAAACCCCTTTTTATATTTCATATTTATTACACTTATTGCATATTTGAAGAGTGAAAGTGTCAAACGTTCCAAGTGCCAAAATATAAAAATTGAACTTTATAATTTGATTTGTATTTTATTCATTACCGGAAACACTTTAACATATTTTTAAGTTTTAAATATGATTGTTTTTTTTATAAATAATTATTCTATACTTGAAAAATTTTCAAAATTGTTTCCGGTAATGAATAAAATACAAATCAAATTATAAAGTTCAATTTTTATACTTTGGCACTTGGAACGTTTGACATTTTCACTCTTCATTTATTATTTATATATACTTTGAAAATAATCATACGTACCTATTGATAAATACCAATATTACATATCGGTTTCAATAATAAAAAATATGTAAGGTACATTAAACATTTATTTTGTTTTAAATTTTAGAAGCTTCTTTTGTCCTCCAACTACTTCTAAACGACATAGAACCTATAATAGGTAAGTATAAAATTAAAAATAAATAGTTACATATTTTTATAGTTTTAAAGAAAAATTCGATTTATTACTTTAAGTCATAAAGCGCTATATATATGTTTTATTGTTAAGCTTTTAAGTTTCATTTGACATATAATTAAAACATCGATATAAGATATAAATTTACATTTTTACAAATATACAAATATTTTACATTAAATGATATTGATCTAATTAACTTCAGTTATAGAATGAATGTCATATTGTATAAAATATATTAACCGGGATTTATTAAATGCACAATGATTTGATATTTGATGTATTTGTTACAGAATATGTATTGGAAGGAGAATATAATGGTAATTACGCGTTTTTTGATAGGCTTAAAAGTTTGTTTTAGAGTTGATATTTACTTAATTTTATTTCTTTAATATTTTATATCAATTAACTATTTTAATAATATAAACTAGACTTTTTGTTGTGAAAAGAAAGAGAGAGTGAGAGAGAGAGAGAGAGTGTGACTACAGTGTTCGTGTGTAATAAATGCATTGAGATTTCAAGTTTCAATATCAATAAGTAGTTTTAAAAAAGTTAGTCGTATCGTAATTCTTTGAAAAATATTGCAATAATTATGTATAAAAAACGACTAAAATATTATTTATCTGTATTATTTCTTTGCATCACCGTTATTGAATAATTTTTTTCATAGGTTCGAGAACATTGAAAAGCCTTGCCGGCGAGAGAAGAAAAAAATATCTTGCTCCAGCTTTAATAAGTCTAATCAGACGTCGTGTAATAGGTAAATATTAATATGGAGTTGTATGATATGTGAACGGTATCAATATATTTACATACTTTTTAAATTATTTAATAGAAATAAGGATACAAACGGTTTTAATTTTTAACAATTAATCAAATAAATTATAACTACTAACACGTATGTTCATGTATCCAAATAACATGGCTGAACAATACGGCCACCATTCTTATTTTATTATTTTTTTTATGAATTTGTATTCATAAATTAAATAAGTGTGTCATGTACCATAAAGAAAAGTAGTCAAATGGTAAGCTAATATAAGGAAATTAAAAAAACAATTTTTCAAATTTTTTAGATGGATCTGTGGACCATGTAGATAATGATGCCTCTTTATTGGCGAAGTGTCGTTTCCTAGGAATATACTGGAGTACACAATTTCCAGAATCATACCTAATTAAAGTTGAAATTGACTCAACTACACACCATACATGTATCTTAACGAATAAACATAATGCCAAAAGGATATATAAAAAAATTGGTGACACGTGGTACCAACTACTAGAGGAACAGTTACAATTGGGAATTTCACAAGTTCCATCCACAATAGGCGGGAGTGAATACCGCGGCACCACATCCTAACCAGTGCGTTGCGTTGGGGACAAAAGCTGTAGGCACCGTCGCTCCGATGGACTCTTATTCTTAGTTTTTTTGAACTATTGAAAACCGTAATTGATTACATAAAAACATTTTTCGTAAATTATTTATTTGTTTCTTGAAAAAAAAATTATTGGTGAACGTATCAGTCGATAACGTCGCTACGCGTCCACCGCATGATTAACAAATAAGAATTAAAATTTAAAAACAATAATGATAATAATAATGTTAGAAAAACACCGGCATCTGTTTTCTGTTCGTTACATAATATTATATTATAATTTATCTTATATTTGTCACTATATACATTATAAAATCTGAAATTGTAGTATAGATAATAAATAATATAATTTAATTAAGCTAACGGTAAAAGAACCGCCGGTTTATTTTTCGACAACATATTTCATATAATACATTTTTTTTGAGAACATAATATTATATATCTATTTCTATTTTATGCCAAGTCTACCTTTAAAATAAAAAATTACCGAATAAGTAAAGTTATGTTTTTTTATATAATCTATACCAACAATTATTTTTGCTTCTAAATCCTTTCCTTATATTTCTACCTCCATTAAATGACTGTGGAAATTTGGTTGACAGGTTCATCGTTTATATTTCTAATAGATAACTCATCTTAACGGTCATTATATAGAGATTTAATTTTAGAGGTAACATAACTAAATAGAGTTCTTATGTTGAATGACTAAGTAAAACAGTGTAAAATATATTGTATATATAATTAAAAATTAATCCTACATAATATTTTAAATCGAAAAGATTGTCGATTTCAAATTTTTTTCAACGCATTATTGTGTGCTATATTCTAGATTAGTAAAATTGTTTAAGTGAATGTGTATTGATTTAGAAATTTTTTTTTTTTTTTGTGGCCTATAACTCATGTTTTGTTATTGTCATTGCTACGAAACTAAAAAAATAAGACACTAAAAAATGAAAATTTTCTGTCTTTTTGCACACAGTAAATTCAAGGTGTTCTATGTCGAACGCATTGAATAGTACCTACAATAAATCTGGGTTAGTAGACTGTTTTTATGTGTATTATTATTATTACTCATATAATATTCCAGGTCGATACGAATTTAAGGTAAATAATATACTAGCGCATTTCATACAACTAACGTTCAATGTATAAAATTAAATGGAATACATTATTAATTGGAAACCCAAATTCAGGTCTCTGGTTAAAGAATTCTGTACACGTTTAAAAAAATTGTTCTACTTGTTAAAATTTTTCTAAATACGAAAAAAAAAATTATTTAATAATATAATAATTAGTAGGTAGATGTATCATGAATATCCAGTAAAATTAAAAAAAAAGACTGTTGATAATTTTGGGAGATAGGCTGGAGGAAAATGCTACAAGATTTTCGTTAATAATAGAAACTATTAATGATTATTTTTCTAAGTTTTTTTTTAAGTTTTAAAATATAATTTTTTTCTATACAATTATTATAAAACTAAATCCGCAGAACAACTGACAGTTGTCTCACAATTAAAATTTAAATACAAAATAAAATGAAAAATATGGTTTTAAAATAACTTTTGCCTAATGTGGTTTACTAATTTAATTAATTTAGTTATCTATTTAGTTATAAAATTGTATTATTTAATTTGCAAGTTCACTTAATGTATTAAAAACTATCTTAAAATACATTAAACTTAACTAATTAATTTGCAAACACATTTTGTAGACTTGCCTACAGTGTTGAGGTTTATCTAAAAAATATATTGTAATTATTTTATATCTATTTGGTTATCTAAATTTGGTCATCTATTTGGTTTTCTAATACTAAAATTACAAATTAAATGTTTTCATTGAGTTTTTTATGTTAAAGGATGAATTTGAATACGTTTTGTGTGTATTTTTATATGATTTTTAATACATGGTTTGGTTAAACATTAACTAAGTATTGAAAAATTTATGTATCTAAAAATTTAGAAAAAAAAGTAATTTTCAAAATATTCATATTTCCCGAAAAAATGAGAGTCTTACATCAGATGAATCACCCTGTATATCATTTTTACTTAGTGTCAATAATTTTTCATGTCGTTTCTATTTGAGTTCACTATTCGATATGAAAAAAACATATTTATCAAATTTCTTTTCGATATTTATAAGATCACAACAAAATATTTGAAGCAAAAACTAACTTGATAACAATCATTTGGTTAGCACATTGCTGCCATAATTGAAATATAAAATATGTCTATCGTAACAAATTACCCCTGGAACAACTAATTCCTCGCTCTACCTAAATATCCATGTAAATCATCTATTAATATTCAGTTAATTAAGACGTTAACGGTCACCCGATGCAAAAGCTGTCATGATTTTTTAGGCATATGGTACCATGAATGCTAGAACATTTGTCATAGTCAATGATTATTTGCATCTGTTTAATGGTTATGTTATGACAAATTCCACATAAACGTACACAGTTATAATCTACCACACGGTTTACCGGCTGATAATAGCTGTATTTCTGGACATGCGAGGAAACTTTCGAGCCTGTGTAATATCTCGAAGAATAGGAAGGCATGTAAAAGTATATCAAGTATAGGAGTTCAGAGCTGTTAGTTTCATTATATTATAGGAACTGTTAGTTATATGCTTATAAGCTATATAAGCATTATAAGCTATATAAGCGTTATAAGCTATACTTTAGAACAAATGACTTTGTATAGCTTTTGTGGCACAAAAAAAAATTGTTAGCTTGTGTAATCAATATGCGAAAGTAGTGAAGATTTGCTATAGAATAAAAGAGAAAAAAAATAACTACTATTGAAGTTTATTGACAGTGATTTATGACATTCAATTATTATAGTTCTGTAATACCTGTGATTCCCCCCCCCCTCCTCTAATATGTTCCAACCTTAATGTGTCAGCTTTTTGAAAAATAAATAAATATATTATAGATAAAAATTTGATGTACAAGTGCTGACTTATATTATATTAAACCAACTTTTAAGCAATGCATATTTATTTTGAAAAATAGTGGAATCAATTAATAATCTTTTTCCATAAAAGTGGCTGAAAATTGTTCTTTATTAGTCTTTTTCCCTAAGACTTATACTACTCTATAGTGTAAATCTATAACATGTAAAATTGGTTTTGTATGTATTCTAACAGAAAAATAATTTCCAGGGACAAAAGATATTGTGGAAATTTGAAAAACAACAATTTGCATGAAGACTTATAGTAGTATATACCGATTTTTATGGAATAAAAATAAGTTGTTTTTCAGTGAAATATTTTCGCATATGACACATTTGTACAAATGAGAACGGTTACAATGAAAATAACAGCAGAAAACTCAAAAAAAATTTCGTTTTAACAGCAAATGTATAGATTTTCAATTGAAAACTACACGTCGACAAAATATCTGTTTATATTTTATACGGAAAATAGAAAACAATATTTAAAAATACCGGCCATAATATACGGTTTTGATAGTAAAAACCAAAATCAATAAAATTATAAGCAGTATGGTGCATTGTAAAGAAAAAAACAAAATATTACAATGTATAATATGTAATTTAACAAAAAGCAGAGTATTTAATAAAACAATTTTCTATTAGCCCCATAAAAAAATAAGAATAATATTACTGTTAACAAGTAATCAGTACATCCTATTAAATAATAACCACCTTTTTCATGTTTGAGAAATGAATTATTATTTTCAATAAATTGAGCTAAAAAATAAGTAATCACTGTGTCTCTCGATGGGAGCTTTTATAGTGGGCCAAAATGTGGGTTATTCGAGGCTGATATGTTTTTTTAGTAATTATTATTTCGGTTTCATGGGGCTAATGCAATGGCTGGAATTATTATTATACATGCTGGAATTCGGAAAAGAACATACTATGCAAACGCCTTTTTACGATATTTATATGTATATATGTATAGAGTGTTTTCATACTGATGACTAAAAAATTGTTGTCGCATTTCCTTACGTAGGTTTAACTGTTAGTATAGCTGTTTATTGAACACAATATTTTCAAGCGTTTAACGCCATGTAGGTAAATTGTTCGATCGACTCATAATCGGTTTTGAAAACTATTACTGTGAAATTAAAATCCAAATTGGGTTCAAATCCATCCAAGGCGATTTTTGCCATACAAATCCATAGGTGTAACAAGGGGGATGTGGAGGGCCCATCTCTAGAAAACCCTCTCTAAACACTTAAAGGCTACAGAAAAAAAAATTTACCGTTTTTTATAAAAAAACTTAAAAGTTAATTTTAAAAAAAACGTTTTACATTTTAGGGGTTTTCGTAAGTCACGAAAAAGGGTTATGATAAAAATAGATATCTTGAAGTGAATATAATAATATATCGACAATCTTGATTGAACGTGTATTAGGAACAGCACGCTTACTTATTAGTCATTGAAGAAAATGCTCTTAAGTCAGAATTTATGGTAGCCAAAAACTGTTGTAAAAATTTTAAGTTTGATTCCAGTGAATATGTTTTGATCCATCTTAAGGGGGTTGAAGTGGCCTGTTTGTTGGACATTTTAGGCCTCAGGATAGTTAGATATCAATTATGTACAAATAATTGACTAAGTCGGCCACTTTTCTAGGTTAATGAAGAAATCGACTAACGATATTTCATTTAAAATTATGTTTAAGTCCTATTTTATTTGCTGAAATTTGTCTTTTTGAATTAATCGAAACAGTTATTCAACAACCGACTCACATAATACCACGCTTCCTGCATTCAATCCTTTTAATGTAATCGTTGAGCAATTGATATTTCCTTATTTGCATAAAATACTTGATTTAGCTTTCTCTATACTAATTATAAGTGTTTATTCTGAAAGGTCCTATTCAGTAATTCATCGCATCCGTAGCTATATTCACTTAGTGATGTCACATATTAGATTGTCTAAGTCACCTGTATTATGCATTGAACGAGGGACGACTAATAAAATAAACAAGTAAATATATTTAAACACATTTGGTGAAAAGGATGGTAAGTTAAAATTATAATTTACTTTTTTTATTTTACTTTAACAAGGCAGAGAGGGGCGGGGTAGTGCTTCGAGGTATTTTGAAAAAAAAACAGCTGGGGCTGTAACTGACATTGCATGAGATATACTTCAAACATAATAATATTAAAATACCTTATAAAACGTTATACCTTAAACGTTTTGTATATTTTACAATGATGTGTTTGTTTATTTTTAGCTTCGATGCAAAGCGAGGTATTGGTTTTACTCTGATGTGGGCTTTTT